AATGAAAGAAAAGATTAAATGTTCACGCCCACGGCAACTGCTCTGCTACGGCTTGGACAGTGCTCAAGACAATCTTTAAAATACATTTATTATTAGTACTTTAAAACACAACAAGTATGGTCAACATTCATTCTAGATCCTCCTGTTTTCATTTATCTTTCTCTTTTGTTCACTGTTTATTTACACTGTGTTTTAATCAAAGACTAGTTAGAATATTGCTTGGTTTTAAATATATTTACCCTGTTACAGGAAAAGACAAAATATGTTGGCATAGCTTGCGTCCAATCCTTTTGTAAACATTTATGCAATAATATTTATTTTTTAAATAGTCTGCTTGAGCTTCATTTTACTCTTAATGTCAGCAAATGTTGAAAAACTCTTGGTCCAAGAGCACCTTAATACGCCAGTCAAATTTGCTCAAAGCCGTTACATCAAAACAGAGACGTGATATGTGATGACTGTAATAAGTAGTACCATACAGATACAATTGTAGCATGTATCATGATGGTTGTCAATACTAGTTTACAACACACTTACTAATTCAAACATCTCATAGCACTGTGCAAATTGTGGGATGCCGAATTTTCCGACATCCTATCCTTCTTTATCGACACAACCTATCATTCTTTCAATCGTTATCCAGTGAGATACGATATCAAGAGCCCTGGCCTACCAGCTTATTCGTCGTCGACACCCATTCATCGAAGAGTGAGTTCTTCAGCATCATCTTGTGAACAGCTAGACAGACACTCCGTCTTAACCAATGCACAGCATGGCTTCATAACAGAACGTTCATGCTAATTTCTACTCATTCTTATAATCCAAGACTTTGAGAAGAATATGGATAATGAGCATATAGATCTACATATACTTTACTTTTCTAAAACCTTCGACAAGGTCCCACGTGATAAACTTCTTTATAAAATTAACCATTATGACATAAGACTGACAACTCTAACATGGTTGAAAGCAATCATCGAAGACAGATATCAAAACGAGTCCTTCTGAAAGAAGTACATCCCAAGAACATGTACTATCGGGATCCCACCTCCTCGAAATTCCGGGTTGTATGCTTATTTACGTTCTTTGCACCCCTGGACTATATCATGTAAAATTGAAGTCTCTGAATGTGCCACCTGGATGATATTTGCTTGATCGTTTTATGTTCATCAAAAACCATCGCGTGGCAGCGTAACGTTAAAAATGACTGGCTTTGATGTCGGCTGTCGCTCCTATGTAATCGTCGAAGGACAGGTATCGACCAAACGATTGGTCAGTTTTACCCGAAACCAATCAAATGATTAACCGCGCGCCTTCAATTTTGTCCTGACATAATCCTGGGAAGCAGAAAACGTAAGAGAGCGTGGCTTCTGGAATTTTAAGGAAGCACAATATGAAGTGTCCTTGGTCCTCTGATGTTTCTGCTCTTTATCACTGACCAGACACAACATGTAACATCATCAGAAGTTAGATTGCTTATCTTATACAATGAAATAGGAAATGACGGTGATGCTAACACCCTTCAAAGGAACTTGAATGGGTTGCATTTCACAACAGCGGAAGGCTGACTGGTAGACGAAATTGCATAACTCCAGGAAGGCCGGCTCCTCGGAATAACAACAAAAAGAAATCCACTTCAGTCAAACTAACACATCCACAGAAATCCTCTTAAGAGGTCGGTTCTGTAAATAACATGGGTATGGGTATTTACATAAGACATAAAGCTGGAGCATGTTAACAACATCAGAAAGAAAGTTAATTCCACCGGTCCCCTTTCAGAGAAACGTCAAAATCTGTCCAAGTCAGATAAATCATCGCTATGTTACCAGACACTAGTTAGCTATTGAGGATACTCGAGTTCCATCAGGGCCGTTTTTGTTTTAACGGTTAAACCGGTCGGACCAAAGTTGTTCGTTTATTAAATAAGGTCGGACCTAGTACGCTGATGCTGCTTTAAGGCGAGCATTGGCAAAGCCTTGCAAGGCCTGCATAAACATTTGCAGGTCCGCCAGGATTTATACCAGAAATTGTTACATTTATAAACGAACAAACCGGTTGTTCCGCATAAACGAACAGGCCCCTGGTGATCTTGTAACTATGGACAACAGGATAAACCTCGACGCTAGACAACGAAGATTTGCTGATTTTATTTCAAATAATGATGGCATGAGAAACCAGCAATGTGTCATCGATTAAATAAATACTGAACTGGGCAGACTTGCTTGAAAGAAGATCACACTGTAAAATCTTCACGTTTTACATGACGTTTAACAGCCCGATAGCTATTCCGTCAGCAAATACTTATTCTATTGTACAAAGATTTCAACTTAATATAATCCTCTCCTCAATATATATGGTAAAAATAATGTACATATATGTTTTAGGGGAATGGGAGAATGATAGGGCGGAGAAGGAAGGGTGGGTTGGGAGTGAGGTGTTACTTAGAAAAGAATTAAATCCTGTAAACTGTGAAATGGATCCGTATTTGAATAAATTAAAAATTATGCAAATGTTATGGCATGCAGCCTGGTAGAGTAATTTCAAAATGTAAATGTAACAAATAAATCAGGCAAAATAATGAAATGCAATTTCATAAACACATATAACAACGTACAGTTCATGGGCCTGAGGTGGCACTATCAATGTATCGTTTGAAGCACGGTTCCACTACAAACAGAACACAAAACATCTCCAGCACACACGCAGGCATACATGCATAGGGAGATATTAGCCAGTTGGCATAGGACTATTATAGGTAGCGCCTGATAAGGCAGCTTCTGCGAATTCCAAAAAGAATGTAATGATTATTATATATGCTTATTGTATTCATAGTATATCTATATATAACTGTGAAACGCGTTAGAGTGGTTTATGTTAGCTAGATAGAGCGCTATAGCAAATGTTGTAAGGGAATAATTAAATTCATTAAAACCTGGTGTTGAATTTGATGTAATAAAAAATCTAAAAATGTTTGTATTGATTTCTACCGAAAGTTGAGTACATGTTTTGGATTCATTTCATCAAATTTTATTAACAAGATTGCATAATCAACTGGATAGAATAACAGGCAAAGCCTATATAAATTATCTCCGTCAAATGGCCAAAGTGGAATAAACAATGAGACATAATATTTTAGACATGTTACAAATGAAAAGTTGAACACAAAATAATTCATATTAACACAAGGCTAAGGGGAAGTAATCCATGAAGGAAACATCTCACACACCTCATACACACTTACACACACATACAAAAACATGTACAAATACATTAATTTCAGCATATATATACACTATCATAGACAGATATTGGCGGACTTAGACCAAAAGTCCATGTGCATATATCACACAGGTCACTGCTACCAACAACTGTTACAGTTAAGAATAATTAATTCATTAAATACATATAGAGTGTAATTATTTACAATGTCAAGATAAGTACATGTAATAGTCAGTAGTCATGCTTAACTAGAATCTCCTGTATGTAATTTAGAATCAGTATGTTTTTGTTTTAACATGCACTTAAAACGGCGGGATTGTCCAATAAAAAAATGCACATCATCAAGTATTCGTCTATTTTTAGGCCCATCACAATCAGGACAGCCCTGGAGAAGAAGGTTTATATGAATGTGATTGTGGTTGCCATAACTATTGGGAGAAGTGAACAGAGTAGTTCTTTGATTATTTAAAAAAAAAAAAAAAAAAAAAAAAAAATTCCAAAAAGAAATGAGATACTGTTTCGTGTTCAGCAGAGCAGGTACAAGCTGGACTATTAGTACATGTAAGATGGCCATGGTGTAAATCAGAATTTAAATTACTACAAGAGTTTCGAAGTTGACATAGAATAATATTTGCTCTTCTGTTACCTTCACTATCAAAACAATATGTTTATATAAGTAATTTTCAATACTGCAGGAGAGGGAGAATTAAGAAGATCAGAATTACAAGCCGGAATGTAGCAGTGTTAATTGTGCGGCACATTTGAGGGAAAGGGCTGTCGAAATAGTTATTAGATCTACATAATGGTGGGTTCACAACGAGGAATGGACTTCAAATGAAGAAGACATCTTTGCTGTAACCAGCGATGTGTAACCAATGAATCCGACTGTTATTCGGCGTCCTTCTCTAATCAGCAGCATACAATGTACTGAGATAATAGGTTTTGGCGATATCGGTCACTAAAATCGAACATTTGGAGTAGAAAATAATCACACTAAATGCTGAATCTTCAAAATTTATTTTTGTCGTGAAAAAGACTGAAATGAATCAGAGACGTATATACTATGGCTTTATTTGTCGCTGAATGAATGCTCTTTAAAATTTCAGACCTAAAAAAACGTGAAGGCACCAAATCCATGCAGCTTGCATGCGTTTCTGCCGTTTTCGCAGAAAATCCAGGTTATAAAATAAAATAAAATATGAATATTAAGGCAATATAATTAAATACAACGTATGTTTTACATGGAATTACTGTTTTACAGACTGAATCAATCAGTCTATAAGACGACGACAATCATGATGGCTATAATTATTAATGGTATATAGACTTAAGCATGTCGACCCTATAACTTTACAGTCAAGTGAAGAAGAAATATAGAGAAGAATCATATTTATCGCTACTAAAATTTCAATTGAGACAACTGATAACAAAACTGAGAATAAGTAGCCATAAATAAAAAGTCATCGGCACCTTCGTCTTTTTAAACTAGGGAAACACTAAAGATGAGGTTTGTTAGGAAATAGGTTTTTCTCGAAAGAAATACAACAATAAGGTTATTAATTGAAATACAAAATTACAAAGGGTTTTTTTCATCTAAATGAACGGAAACCTTTGCTCGATTTGGGTCTCTTTGTAGGAAAGTCTAGTCAACTTATCCCGAGTACATATGTATAGTAATTGGGAGGTATTGGAAAACATCCGAGTCTTCCAAACGGACTACTCTTCATTACGGAGGTAGAAAACCTGTAGTTATTCGTAACTCTCGGATTTCTTCATGTATATATTGCTAAAAATGGCAGAGGCGGACGATAGCAATTTCTACATTGAACTCTGTAAAACTCCTATTAGATTTGACCCCGTGGATAAAGTGACCAATGTTTTCTACGATGATTCTAACAAGCAGGTGAGTGATATATGTAACGGTGCCAATGTAATTCGTCTGATCTGCAGTGCAGAATATTTTTCAGAGCCTGGTTAGGCGATGATGTTTTCAAAACAACTTAAAATGAGACAAACACATTAGCAACATCACATCAAATGCAAATAAATCACTAGGCTTTCTGAAACGCAACCTAAAAATAAATTCACCACACATAAAAGAACATGCATTCAAGGCCACTGTAAGACCAAAACTTGAATACCTACTCTTCAGTTTGGGACCCACATTATACAAATAATATATATCAAATAGAATAAGTACAACGAAGAGCAGCACGATATGTCCTAAACAAATACCATAACACAAGCTCAGTCACAGATATGATACACAACTTGTAATGGCCAACACTACACACACGCAGAACAAGAACACGCCAAGGACACAACCCCAGTTACAGACATATCTACACATCCAAAGACACATACAGACACTCATTCTTTCCATACACCATAATACAGTGGAACCTCCCACCCAAAATAATAATCCAATCAGAAACACTAGCAGAATTCAGGACATGCACCACATTATGTCATATAACATAATCAACCATATACAAAACCTACAACACTGCTTTTAACCTGTTTTTATCCTATAGCAAATAATAAAAATATAATAAAAAAATCAATGTACATAACAATTAACGCACTACAGCACAAGACCAATTTCCGTATTCATCGTTATCGACTTAGGAAGACAAATAGATGAAGATCTGTCATCAGTTTTTATCGCGTTTCGAAAAGTTGTGCCAAAATTGTTGGTTTATGAAATTAAGGGTACGAACGTAATGATGATGCTTTCCAGCGAGCCTCGGCTAAAAGACTTCCAGTGCCTTCATTTATGTTTGCAGGTCCAGTCGTTCTGTACTTTATCCCTTGGCCTAAGCTAGCACAGGGGCTTGTAGCAAGTTATATTAATAGTTTATATCTTTTTTACATTTGTTACAAGCCCCTGTGACCGTAGTCTACTTGGGGCAGTACTGAAATTGCAACGAAAAGATTGCACTTAATTACTAGCTATCTAATCATTTACTTCATGTGAAAACCTCGTTGATTGTTCAACAAGTGGGGGAGGTAATCATAAATAAGATGTCATTGTCTGTGTTATATCTTACCCTTCTGAGTTCTGTATAACAATCTGTTGCTCAACGATGTGGGTTGATACAAATCCATTCGTTCCTTACCATATCGACAATCTGTACCAGTCAACTTGTACCAAGATTTGGCTCATCCATACCAAGGATTTCAGTTATCTTATACTGAAGTGTTATATCTGTATATATCTCATATGTTTGTGTATATCTCATATGTTTGAGTCAAATAGCTGCAAAAATCAACAAATAATGTGTACTGTTTCTTATAACGTTATCAAGTAAATAAACCTTTTTTTTATTTTTTGGTACTTGGTACATTGTAACAGCCAATTTCACTACTGAATTGACCAATGATCAGTGTGTGACTTCCACACACTACTTGAAAATTATTAATGTAAAAAGATTTTTTAATTTAAGTAAAAAGAAATCTATGTTATATGCTACATGTTACATAGTAACTTTAGTATATATGGGACACCTTATAATACTCTCAGTACAGTTGTACTAAAGCTTGGTACAAGTTGACTCATGGATACAGATTACTGGTGGTACAGAATGACTAGAATTTGGTCAGTATAACTGATAGCTTTGGCTTATACCAGCTGAGAGGTTTTTTTTGTATTTTATACAGTCTTATTATATTTTATTAAAAGTTCAATTTTGTTCCTATAAAATGTCACTGTTTCATGTTTTCCTATATATGTGTCTTGCTACAGGAGCAAATATATAATCACTTTGATAAATTAGCTACATCCAATAATCCACTGAATAATTACATGATCATGTGGAGTGTTGTATTATCATATAGATTAAACTTGTACATGTATTGAAGGTGTTTGCTGTGCGGTCAGGTGGAGCCATGGGTGTGGTGGTCAAAGGTCCAGGTGAAAAGGATTCAGTAACATTCAGGTAACTGATGTGTGACAAACTGAAAGGAAATGTTACTCTTTACACAAAATCAAAGTGTGCAAATTTAATCTTTAAGCTATGGCCATTGAAAGAAAAATCCCTAGTGTTAAACAGATTTAAGCACGAGTAAGTATTGTACATGTGTGGGAAAACTGGACACAGCACTTCACTAGGAGTTCATATTAATTGCATGATCGAAAACAAACTGATTTTCAAACAATATAGGAAAAAATGTCTGGCTGTGATAGTAGTTGTCTTGCTAGGTTGAAATTGGGACAATTGGACTGATTGCAACTAAATATAAATTAAAGTAAGTATGGGGAATGGTTTTATGCAGTGTCAAAGCTAAGTCTACCTTCTTTATTCAAATAAGTTAGAAATCAAAGGAACCTCACTGATGGTTACTTTTGTGTCATAACCTAATGTGTAAATGAAGCACTTGTTTTGGATCCCTACTTTGAAACAGCTAATGCTTTCTCAGGTTTTATGACCTAAACATTGTTTATTGCTTTCTCATATTGACTATAGATTTTGTCATTTGTCATTTTTTCAGAGTTGAAGGTCGAGGAGATGTTATTTCTATCAAATTTTCCCCGGACAAACGAGTTCTAGGCATACAAAGATCAGCAAAATCTGTGGTAAGTACGAAGATTCTCCAGACAAACGAGTTCTAGGCATACAAAGATCAGCAAAATCTGTGAGTAGTACAAAGTTTCCCCAGACACACAAGGTCTCGGTTTTCAAAGATAAGGGAAATTCTATTCAGTTTATTAATTTACTAGCTTGGTTGCTTAATTGTACATAAATATGAAAATTAGAAAAACCTTCCATCAAATGTATACGGTAGTATGTATCATTGATGTGTGGATCACATTGACCAATTGTCCTGTGTTTTTTGTGGTTCAGGAAATCTGCAGAATTCTCTATATTTGTTGTTATTTACTCAAATTTGATTAATTCCATACACAGAACATTCCAAACAATGGCATTTTATCATTTTGTCAAAAGAGATTATTACAGTACTTTAGACATTCTTGGTTAGCTTTTTTTTTGTTTTTTTCACCATACGAACATGAAAGGGTGGCACATGTTCCAACATTTGTCATGCTGTTCTATCTGATTGTAGGAATTTATAAATTTCATGACTGATATGACAGCAGACCAACTGGAATACTCACAAACCTGCAAGGTAATTTATGAACCAATGTGATTTGAAGAAAAGATCTCAGGATGTACAACATTTCAATTTGCTTCAGGTTTCACCAAAATTGTAATCAGAACAACTTGTTATAAGGGGATGGAACAAGAATTGTGTGAAGAGTACTTAAGTGGGAAATGAATATCTGCTTTTAACTTTATCTAAATAAAATCCAGGTTATACAACTTTATCACATTTTTTATTCACCAATTAGAATTAACTCGTGAAAATCATTGCAAATTCATTATTATTAGGAAGAGATGTTTTTTCAATAAAGCTTCTGTTGTGAAGATAAACAGGGAAACTGTGCTGCTTGGTGGTATAGTGAGCGTGTATAAACATATACCATGTATCTACATGGAGATCTGCTGACCTCTAATTCAGGGTAAATCCACCAACATCATGGGATTTGTGTGGACTGGAGTGAATGAGATCGTCTTTGTCACTGACCATGGGATTGAATTCTATCAGGTAACTAACCATACAACCAGTTGGCATGCTCACTGATAAAACACATGTATAACTGTAAGTAACACTTACCTTGAAGTCCAGTAACTCAGCTGTTATCTGATCGAGGTAGGAGGAGGGCTATTTAGCAGGGTCATCTGTTTGAGTTAGGAGGAGGGCAATTTAGCAGGGTTATCTGTTTGAGGTAGGAGGAGGGCTATTTCACAGGGTTATCTGTTTGAGGTAGGAGGAGGGCTATTTCGCAGGGTTACCTGTTTGAGGTAGGAGAAGGGCTATTTAGCAGGGTTATCTGTTTGAGTTAGGAGGAGGGCAATTTAGCAGGGTTATCTGTTTGCGGTAGGAAGAGGGCTATTTGGCAGGGTTATCTGTTTGAGGTAGGCTGAGATCTATTTAATAGGGTTATCTAATTGAGGTAGGCAGAAGGGTATTTATAATAGTTATCTGTTTGATGTAGGAGTAGGTGCATTTTAAATAGAGATCTATTTGGTTGCATGGAGGGGTATTTGACAGTTTCAGTATTTGTCCTATCTGAATTTGTCTTTAAGGTGGGTTCTATTGTGCTTTATGAAAGATATTTTAAATATTGAAATGCTGGTTAAAGTCTGATGAGATATCTATAGTAGTTTAAATTGTGAGAGTCTTTGTTAGTTATTGTTACATTGTTTTTTATAATTGCGTGTGTTTCCTTTACAGGTTACCCCTGAGAAGCGATTGTTGAAGTGCGCTAAAACCATCAACCTCAGCGTGGCTTGGTTTGTCTGGCAGGTAATATATATTGTCAGACTGTAACAGAAATAGGAGTCTGAGGCATTCAATAGCAAGGGGTCTCCAGACAGTAAATAGTAAGGGGATTCCAGACAGTAAATAGTAAGGGGATTCCAGACAGTAAATAGTAAGGGGATTCAGACAGTAACTAGTAAGGGGATTCCAGACAGTTAATAGTAAGGGGATTCCAGACAGTAAATAGTAAGGGGATTCCAGACAGTAAATAGTAAGGGGATTGCAGACAGTAAATAGTAAGGGGATTGCAGACAGTTAATAGTAAGGGGATTCCAGACAGTAACTAGTAAGGGGATTCCAGACAGTAAATAGTTAGGGAATTCCAGAGAGTAAATATTGAGGGGATTCCAGACAGTAAATAGTAAGGGGATTCCAGACAGTTAATAGTAAGGGGATTTCAGACAGTAAATAGTAAGGGAGTTCCAGACAGTAAATAGTAAGGGGATTCCAGACGGTAAATAGTAAGGGGATTCCAGGCAGTAAATAGTAAGAGGATTCCAGATAGTAAATAGTAAGGGGATTCCAGACAGTAAATAGTAAGGGGATTCCAGACAGTAAATAGTAAGGGGATTCCAGACAGTAAATAGTAAGGGGATT